AAAATTAAAAAAAAAATGAATATCATCTTCATTCTAATCAAATATAAACGAAATAGATAGAATTAAAAGATCATCTCAAAATGTTAATTTAGTTATGTCAAAGTTTGATAGATAAAGATTTAATTGGAATTAGATTTTTTTATTATATTCATCTTATTAGTTCTGGGTTTTCTAAACAACAAGAATTACTTTGGGAAGAACGTGATTCTATTAATCGATCAAGTCAATTAGCAGATATTTTGATTGAGTTTGTTTTATTAATTGAATAATTTTCTTTTTAATATTATAAACTCATTTTTAGTCAAGCATTTGAAGACAATGCAAGTATAGATCGACAAAACCAAACAATGGATAAAATTAATAACAGAAATTCTATCTATAATTCTACTTTAAATGATTCAAATCGTTTAACAAATAGAATTTCATGGCATCAATGTAAAAATACAATTATTTTAGCATGTGTTTGTGCTTTTTGCATATTCTTCCTTATCTGGTGGTCATTTTTATAAGTTATTGTCCTTTTCATTTAGTTTTATCATCAACAATCTTCTAAATAATAAGATTTATAAACACAAAATTATTTAATTATAAAATACAAAAATTTTGAAGAAAATAAAAAATAAAGAATATTAATCTATTTTATAGGATAAAAATGTATTAAATACATAAATAAAGAAAAAAGAAAAGATTTAAAAAAAAAATAAAAATTTCAAAAACTAGAAAAAAAGAAAGAAGAACTTCAAAATAGAAGAATGGCTTTCTTATTTGGTACACCAATTCAAATTGATATTCTATTAGACAATGACCATGAAAAACAAAAAGTTACTAAAATAGTTAATAAACAAAAAACAGAAATTCCAATTTATATGAAAAATGAAGATATTAAAGGAAAAGTTGTTATTACATTAAAAGATAAAAAGTATGAACATCAAGGAATTAAAATTGATTTTATTGGATCAATAGAATATTCATATGACAGAAGTTCTACATCGAATTTTATTCAACAAACAGTTGAATTAAGTAGACCAAATATTATATTAGAAGAAAAAACAATGTATCCATTTAGTTTTAGTGGAATTGATAAAAAATATGATTCATATTCAGGAAAGAATGTAAGATTAAGATATTATTTAAGAGTATCAGTTAATAAAAAGTATTCATCTGGTTTATCTAAAGAACAAGAAATTTGGGTTATTAATTATCAAGATGAACCTACTAAAAATGATCCAATTTTAATGGATGTTGGTGTAGAAAAATGTGTAAGTATTGAATTTAAATATGCTAAATCATATTATAATTTAACTGATGTTGTATTAGGTCAAGTTTACTTTAAAGTTGTAAGATTACCTTTGGCTAGTATGGAACTTCAAATACAAAGAAAAGAAACTACTGGATTTCCACCAAATCAAACGGTTGATACTGAAGTTCTTTCTCGTTATGAACTTATGGATGGTGCACCAGTTAAAGGAGAATCAATGCCAATTAGAGTATTTTTAGCTAATTTAGACTTAACCCCATCATATCATAATGTTAATAATATGTTTAGTGTTACTTATCATTTACATTTAGTATTAATCGAAGAAGATGGAAAACGTTATTTCAAACAATGTGAATTTAAATTATGGAGAAAACAACCTCAACCAATTAAAACATCACCTAATGCTCCTATTAGTGTTAATACTGATTGTTTAGCTGGTTCTCAAGAAACCCCTTACAAAGGATCTGACATTAATAAACCATTACCAGAAGTTCAATCTCAACAATCTATTCAAGAAGAACCAAAAGAAGAAATTAAAGAACCTGTTATTGAACAACCACAACAATCTATTCAAGAAGAATCAAAAGAAGAAAAGAAAGAAGAAGAACCAAAAGAAGAAAAGAAAGAAGAACCAAAAGCAATTGACATTTCTTCATTTATTCAAGACGATAAACAAGATGATGACAACTTATTTTAAATCACCTTTTCTTTGATGAATTGATTTATTCATGAATTTCTTTCATTTAAATGTTATAGTTTTTAATTAATTAAAAAATAAGAAACAAAAAAATGAATTATTTGTTAAACCAACAAAAAAATGAAAGATAGTAATTCTTTTAGATAGAAGAAATTAAACCAAAATAAACAAACAAGTGTTTGTCATTAGTCAAGAGCAAAGACAAATGGAGAAGATGTTTTTGGACCAACTGAACCATAGATAGAGACTATTTGTTCAACAAATACACAACTAACGTCAACAATTATAATTTTTTTACAAAGTTTAACAACAGGTAGTTGAGAATTAACATGAGAGTTTGTAATAATAATTTTATCTATAGGACTTTGTTCTAACCTTTGAATAATTGATTCTTTTGTAACAGCAAAATGAGAAATAACACAAGTAACTTTTGTTGCTCCATGTCTTAAATAATTTTCTGCTGCAGCAATTACAGTTTTCCTGAACGAACAATATCATCATATACTACTACATGTTTTCCTTTACATTCTCCAATAGGTTCTTTCATGATTTCTGGTGAATTTTCATTAAGTTCTCTTGGAGCTCTGCATAAAACGATTCCAACACCAAAAAGATTTGAATATGTTTCTACCCATTTTGGTCTTCCTAAATCTGTTGTGCCAAAGACTACATCTTCATTTTGAAAATCAACTTCTTTAGCAATAGCATTATACAAAGGTTTTTGAGCATATAATTCCATTGCTTGAGTTTTTTCAAAATAATGAATAATACCACTTGTATGAAGATCTAATAACAAATACAAATTACCTAATCCACATGTAGAAATACTTGAAAGCATTCTTACTGTTGATTTACAGGTGACTACTTCTCCTGGCAATGAAGCTCTATTCATCGTTTGATATAACAAATAAGGAATAACAAATACTCTTCTTCTTGTTCCTAATTCAGAAAGTTCAAGTCCAAGACGAATTAGTTCTAACAATTCTTGGTCATCAACCATTGAACAAACAATTAAAACATCTTTTCCAATTAATGATGTTTTATTTTGAATTGTAAATTTATAATATAACTCTCCATCAGAAAATTGTTTTCGGATAACAGGAAGAATTGGATATCTAAGTTTTTCAGCTAAAAGATCAGCAAAATACTTACTTCTTTTTGTGTGTACAATCAATGGTAGATTAAGATAGTTTGACATATGTGTAATTATAACTAATTTTAAAGTTGGACATTACTAACTTTATTTCCAACCCTAAATAAACTCCCCATCAATTATTTAAACAAGTAAACTCCTTTTTCAAATAATTATTTTTTATTTTCATTAAAAACGAAGTTTATTTTCATAAAACTACTTTTTTCATTATTTTTTAACACTTTAAATGAATTTTTATTAGAGTAATGAGAAAACTCCTTCAATAAAATGTATTGATTTAATCATAACATCATTTCTTAGTCACTCCACTCATCGTCATCATCATCTTCTTCTTCAGATGTGTCAGCTTCAATATCTTTACGTCTATTTGCCATGGCATTAGCAAGCATACTAGTTAAGTCATCTTGTTGTGCCACAGTCATTTTCTTTTCTGGAAGTGGTTCAGTCTTCTTAAGGACATGCCCTCCTTTGTTAATGTCATCAAGAAACGATCTTCCTCCAGTTGGTAATGAGACATCAGGTGTAGTTTTTGTACTAGGAGATGGAGTATTTAATGTAGGAGGTGGTGGTGGAACATTTAAGTTAGGAGGAGGTGGGACATTTAAATTAGGAGGAGGTGGTGGATTAACTGATGATGGAGGAATATTATTATCTGAACGAGAAGGTAGTGTAGGTGGTACCTTACGATTAGGAAGAGGAGGTGGTGGGCGTCTAGTTTGGGTGTTAGGTTGTGGTGTTTCATTTTTAGAGGAAATAACAGGAGCAGAAGGGATTTGTGTTTCTAATTCAGGTTCAGGTTTTTTAAGGTTTTGAGGAGGATTAGTGGTAGAGACAGTTGTATGTTTGTTAGAGTTTGGAATATCAATTTCTTCAAAATCATCTAAATCAACATTTCTTTGTCCACCATTGGGTAATGAAGTTTTAACTAATGAATTTTCTGAACCAGGAGTAGCTGTTAATTGTTCTAATACACTTTGATCACATTTACCTTCTTTGACAGCTTGTTCAACAGTAGTGATAAGTAATTTAACAGTTTCTGGGTTACATAAATCTTTTCTCTTTAACCCAGCTGCTTTTAAAACAGCTCTTAATTCTGGTGTTAATTTTTTGAGGTCAATAAGAACCTGTTTTTTTGCTTTAATCAACTCACCAACTTCTTCACCAAAATTTGTACTAGAAGTAGCCATTTTTTGAATTTCAGCTTCATTTGCTTTCAACACATCAACTATTTGTTGTAGTGCATTCTTTTCTTTTTCAAATAAATTACAAAATAATTGAATCAATCCACAATATAATTCTCTCACCATTTTAGTTGTATCATGAAGTCCTTGAACAATACACTGTTGTTTTAAAGTTTCTGTTTGCTTTACTTCTTCCATAAATTGTTTTAATTCAGTGGGTTGAGCCTTTAACTTTTTTTGTGATAAAGCAATATTAGAATCAGCCCGTTTTAAATCATTTTTATACCTGTCTTCAAAATTAGAAACCATACGAGGGTATTCAGAGGCGTTCTTTTTTAAAATAGGTATTATTTGGTCATTAAAATATCTAGCCGTTTCATTTCTTCCAGCAAACATAACTTGTAAAATATCAATGATATTATTTACTCCTTGATCTAAATCATTAATTCCAGTATTGCTTTGTAATATTAAAGCGTCAGTTAATATTTTAGTTTGATTTGCATGAACAGACTCACTTTTACAATAACCTTCACTAGCAGAAATCAATTTTTTATAATTTTTCATAGCACCTTTGATAGCCTTATATTTAAGTTACTTTTCATTTAAAAAAATCAAGAAAATTAAACCAAACGTTAATATTTTTTTTTATATATTCCTCCATTTTTTTTTCATCTTTCTTTTCTTTCATTAAATAAGTGCTACTCATATGCGTTATATGAATATTTTTAGTTCAAATAAATACAAATCTCATAGAAAAACAAATTTTTTTAAATTTCTAAAAACAATAAAAAAATTTTATGATATAAAAAACTAAAATTAAGTTTATTAATCATCTTAAAAAAACTTATAAATTAACCTTCAAAATTAATGGATACTCCAATTCAAATTCAAAAACGAAAAGAAGGGTATAAAAGAGTGCTACTTTGTAGTGTAAAAGTCATGATATTAAGTATAATATTAAATGGGTTAATATTAATTTTATATAATTCAATAACAAAAAAAAGTATAACAAGTATTATTATTATTTCAATAACTAATGGAATTAATGTTCTTATACTTCATTGGAAGTGTACAGAAAATAAAGTATTTGATGATGAACCAGGATTATATTTTATTACTAAAAGAGGATTAAATTGTTTAATAACAATAATTATAAGTTCTATTATTTTAGGAATTATTTCATTTTATGAATATGGTATATTAGCTCAATACTATATAGAAAGTACTTTAATTGATGAATCAATTACATTAATGATTCATTGTGGAATTTATTTTGGACTATCTTCTTCAGTCTTTTATTTATTTTTAGATAGATTATATATTCCTTATTACTCAGTTCTTCCTAAAACTAAATCAAATTGGATACAACAAACGTTAAGACAAACTGTTATTACATTTATATGTAATTTGTTTATCTTTGTATTTATAATTTTTACAGTAAAAATGTATTATTTAATGATGTATGGTTTTCAACCAATTGTTTCTCGTTTTAATTTTTCTAATATTTTTACTTTAATACCAATAATATTAATTTACAGTATGTTTAGTAGATTATCATTTAATTATCTAAGTAAAATAATGAGTATTGAATTACCTTTAGAAGATAAATTTAATTAATTTCTTTTTCTTTTATTTAATTTATGTAAAAAGTATAATAAAAATATAATAATTAAATTATTGTTACTTTTTTCTTTTAGTTAATTAAAAGGAAGAAATTTAATAGGAAGTTGCCATTGGTAATCTTCGATTAAAAATGCTTCACACCAATTTTTCCATAATGATTTTTTAAATTTATTTATAAATAATACTCCTGAACGAAGAGAAGAAATAAATTGTAAACATTCAATAGTTGTACAATTAAATGAAATAAAAATTGTTTGAATTAATAAGAGAATAAGTAATGAAATACCACAAGAAAATGAAATAAGTAATCCAATTAATGAAAGAACAAAAGAGAAATTAGGAATTAATGAATGGTAATAAAGAATTAATACAATTTTTATAAAGTTTGTTATTGTAATTATTGATCCATATAAAAGGAACAAATAAAAGTATCTAATATTATGTAGTCCAATACAACAATTCATCCATGAGCAATGATGGTCCATTCTTAATGTACACCTATTTAAATTATTATATATTCTCTTCTTCTTTTTTTTTGTTTATTTCTTTAAAATATATAAATTAAAATATTTAAATATCAAACGAATTACATGTTCTACAATGATGAACTCTTAAATATTTTTCTTTACAACATATTTTACAATATCCTGTTCTTTTAAATGAATAATAACGAAATGAAATTTTATTTTTTGCTGTATTTTTACATTTTATTAAGAAATATTCAATACAGAAAAAACAATAACAATTAATACTCTGTATACAAATATTCTTTAAAGAACTATTTGGATATATTACATTATATTGGGGTATTATATTAAAAGTACTTAAAACAAATAATAACAGTGTTAATAAATGCACACAATAATATGCAATTATTGATAATGAATGTTCAATACAATCATATAATTCATTAAGTTTCCTTTCTTTTGAATTCATTTTTATTTATTTAGTTCATTTTATTAAAATAAAAATTTTTTAATTTGAAAATTAAAATAAAGAAAGAAAACAAAAGCATTTTTCCAATATGTTTGCAATGAATTATCTCATACTTTCATGTATGCTGTTTCAGTGCCAAGTTGCTTTTAAAATTAAAAAACTTAAGTTGATTTATTACTCATGTCTTTTATTTTACTAGCAACAAAGAGTTTGTTTTGACCTTAAAAAAAACTCTGAAAAAGGTCTTAAAAGCATCATCAGCTTTACATCCTTACACTGAAGGATTGTAAGCTGATGATTGAATGAAACCATTTTCGCCACAATTTAACCAACAATAGTTCTCATTATTCTCAATAATTGGTGTTTCAACTGTAGTTAACAAAAAATAACAATTAGTATTTGGTTCTATATAATTGTTATAATAAGTAAAATTACTACTAATCAAATCACAAGACCCATTTTGAGAATTGTAATAATTAATAAATTGTTGGTCTTCATTAATTGGCATTGGTGGAAGTTCATTATCATATTGAGAAAATATTTGTGCATTAACTGCTGCTTCTAAAAATTCACTTTGTGTATTTAGTTCTTCTTGTTTTTTATATTCACTTTGTTCAGTTTTTGTTGGTTCAATACCAATAACTCTATCCTCATCATCTTCATCACCTTTCTTAACGTCACTCACATAACTTGGTCTGACAATACATTCTGGGCAAATGACATCATTAGTCGAACCAATATGTGAAGAAATAGAAATAGGTTGCATCATACGATGAAGTGGCTTAAGATTAAATTCATTTGGTAAATTGAAGTTGTTTATAAGTGATTGTAATTGGAGCTCAGCACTAGAAATCATCAGTAGAGTATCACGTTTGTGACCACGGACAAAGCTCTTGAGCCCCTTATTGAGTAAACCCCCAATACGAGCGATGTCCTCTCCACTGATGACAACTGCCCCCAAAGACAAAACACTAATACGTGACATTTTTAATGTAACAGAAGAACTCTTAGTATTCTTTAAAACAATTTTCCATCCTAATTGTTCAAGCATACAAATTAATGAATTGTTAGTAGCAGCTGTGTGATTTCTTTTATTATATTTAGTATAATGAATTTTACTTTCGTCAACTGACTTTCCACTCGTATAGATTAGATGTTCGATATATTCAGCAAAATTATATGTTTCTTCATCAATTATTACTTCTCTAATATCCATAAATTGACAAGTATCTGAACTTTTTCGTGGACTTTGAATAATGAATTTGATTCCATACTGACTAAGAAGAGCCATTAATGTTGTTTCTTGTTCAGCCTCAAATGAAACAGAAATTCGTTTGGCTTCAGTGCCATTTTTGGTGTTTCTCAATGCAGAAGACATCTCAGTAACTGAAAAAAGATTTGGAATCTAAGTTGTTCTTCCCCATTTATTAGGACCCTTTGGTTTTGAGTCATTAAGAATAACAATCCTTTTTTTTCTTTTATCTATATGAAATTAGTATAGAAGGGTATAGAAATAATTTTTTTTCAATGATAGTCCTTTGAGGTTGAGTTTACTTATCCTAATCTTCTCATATTTTCCCGAAAGTATTTGGATATAGAATAAAGAACAAAAATTTTTATTTTTTATTAATTAAAAAGTGATACTTCAAACATAATTTGAAGGTAATTTTACTAGATGAAAACTCAATATACTGAAACTGATATTCTGCAAAAAGAAAAAAGTAAAGACTCATAAATCTTGTTTTGTACTTTGATAAAATAAAATTTTTTTAACCCTAGTTATTTTAAAAATAAAAACAGATGAAGAACAATCTTTATTTATTTTAAATTATTTCCTTTATTGACAATAAAAAGAAAAGATGGATTCTCAAATTACCAATGGCACTTTGTTGATGTATAATTGATATAGTAAGAAATTTTCAGAAAAAAGTAGTTTTATTTTATAAAATGTTTTTTATATTGATATTGATGGAATACTCTGAAAAAAAATTCTTTTTTATAAAACTTTTCCAAAAGGGATAAATAACAAAATATTAATTGAATTACAAAAGTAACAAAAAATATAAAAATAAAAATAACGAAAAAAAAAAATAAAAATAAAAAACAAAACTTAAAAAAACAAATTAAAATCTCTCAAATCATGAGCAAAGAGTCTAAATTACCAAGACAGCCAAATGTACAGAAAAAAGTTGCTTCAATCAATGATCCATCAGTTGCAAAGGATCTCACTCCTATTTATTGTACAACAATTGAAGATGGAGTACGTAAAGAAAGAGTATATGAAAAAGTAAAGTTATTAGGAAGGGGTGGTTTTGGAACAGTGTTTAAAGTAATCGAAAAAGGTAATAACCAGGAATATGCAGCTAAAGTTATTCGTAAAGAACCATTAAAAGGAGTATTTTTAACAAAACTTAAAAGTGAAATTGAAATACATAATTCATTAGATAATTGTAGAATAGTAAAATTACAAGATGTGTTTGAAGATAGTAAATATGTATATATTTTACTTAATTTATGTAATCAAGAAACATTAAAAGAAGTATTAGTTAAAAGAAAAAAATTACATGAACCAGAAATAGCGTATTGGATGAAACAAGTATTAGAAGGAATAGTATATCTTCATAGTTGTAAAATTATTCATAGAGATTTAAAATTAGCTAATATCTTTATTCATAATATGAATGTTAAAATTGGTGACTTTGGTTTAGCTGCTAGAATAGATCAAGAACATAAAAATAGAATGACTATGTGTGGTACTCCAACATCAATGGCACCAGAAATTATTGCAAAAACTGGTCATTCATATCAAGTAGATATTTGGGCATTTGGTGTTATGTTGTATTATTTAAAATTTGGAATTACTCCATTTAATTCTTCAACAAGAGAAGTTGTATATAAAAGAATTGAAAAATGTGAATTCTCTTTTCCAAAACGTCCTATTTCTGATACATTAGTAAAACTAATTAGTGCTTTGTTACAAAAAGATTCTTCTTTACGTCCAAGTGCATCAGAAATATTAGAATATGCTTTTTTTGCACCAAATAGAGTTCCAAATAGTTTACCTATAGAAGCATTATCAAAAGACATTGACTGTACAATGTTAGAATTTGGAGGAAGCGGTATAAATGATATGATATCTATTCATGATAATCCAAGTGAATCTATTATTGCATCACTTAAAATGATTTTATCTAAAAGACCAGCAGAAAATGCATGTATTATTTCAGGATCAGAATATAATTATGTTGTTGATTATTTAGATAAAACAGATAAATATGGTGTATTATATATGTTAGATGATGGAACTATTGCAGCTAATTTTAATGACAGTACTTCTATGTTTATGAATAATGGACTTTATACTTATTTCGCTCGAGATATGAGTAGATTAGATATTGAAGCACAAAAAATTGATTCACAAGTTCATGACATTAATAAAAAATGTCGTATTATTAATTTATTTTGTAAACAACTAAAAGGAGGTAATCCAGAAAAAACTGGATTAAAGACTTGTACTGTTCGTAAATTTATTGTAAGAGAAGATTTTAATGTATTTTTATTTACAGATAATTCACTTCAAGTTTTCTTTACTGGAACAAATCCAATATCATATTTTGTTGACCCATATAATATGATATTAACAATTCTCAAAAGTCCTAATGAAAAATATACATGTGCTGTTGATTGTCATAAGGCTATGTTATGGGACTCTGATGCTTCTCAACATTTCAGTCTTTTAGATTTATTATTACAAGAATTCTCTAATAAAATTGAAATGGTGTAATGATAAGAAAAAGAAAATAATAACTATCAAATGATTGAATCTTTTTCTATTTTATATTATTTATTTATTAATTTTATTTTTTTTTTTTTGTTATCCAAAAACATATAAAAAATGAAAATTATAAAAAAATATTGATTTTTAATGAGTATGTAATGTAAGATATTCTTCATATTGAGTTAATATCAATAACATTGAAAAGTTATTACTTGTTTGTGCATAATCCATACACTGATTAAATACATCCTTAAATAATGATAAATCTTCGTTGTCAATAAGATAACTTAATGTCATTGCCACTTCAATAGTAAAATAATGACTTAAATTCCATGTTTTTTGAGAATAAAATAAAATAATCTCCTGAAGAATGTGAAGATAAATTTGATGAATATCATTTGATTCGTTAACAAGTAACTTACCAAAATCTCGAATAAGAAAAGCTAACATTAAATCCATTTCTTCATTACTTATATTAACTGATGTTACTTCATGAAGTAATTCATCTAATTGACTTTGTTTTTCTATTCTATATAATCAATACAGAAACAACCACTAAATCGATTTATAAAAAACAAACATTTCAAGATTATTAAGACTTTGTTTTGTTAGTTTAGAACTATTCTTATTTACAGTTGGTTTATAAAATACTGAAAGATTAGACATAAAAGGATAATTATAACTCTCTTTTGTTAAATGTTTATACCGTTCATTATAAACTCGAACAAATGCAGCCATAATGTCTGGTGTTGGAGAACAAAGAACTCGATATAATAATGAAGGAATAAGTGTTCGTACTAATAATTCACAATTTTCATCACTAGCCAATTGATAAATGAATTGAACAACACAAACTGTTAAATTATTATGGATAACTTCATTAATTTTTTGAATAACACTAGAATTTTCAACAATAGCTTTACACTTTTTATCGTCTAATTCATTAATCTTCATTCCTAAAATTTCTTCCCAATTCACGTTCTCACTCATCAACTTCTTACAGTTAAAAGTTTTTTTATTTTTTTCTTTTATTTTTTTTTATTTCTTTGTCCTTTCAATAATCTTCTTAACCCTAATTCAATTTACCAGTCTTTCCAATGGAACATCATAAATCAGGTAGTTTATCTCAAAAGAACAAACCTTTTAAACGTAGGACTGGATCTAAAAGACAACAAAAGATTAAAGGAAAAAAGAAAACTGAAACAGTTTCTTGTAGACCAATTTTGGCTGATCCAAAGGAAGTTAGAAGAAACCAACAAAAGCAAAGGCAAATGGCTTCAAGACAAAAACAGTTAGAAAGAAATAGAAAAGAAAAAATGGGAATTGGTGCTCCAAGACTTGTTGGGTTTATGAGTCTTGGTGGTGGAAATGTTCAACAAACTGTTCAGACATTATCTCAACACTGGAGTGTCGCTAGTGTTAGAGGTGATATTACATATGTTAAAACAGAATTTAATAAACGATTAGCTCTTTGGTTTACACAACAAGATATCTGGAATCGAATGGATGTTGGTAAAATTGCTGATATTATGGTATTTGTTATTGGAGGAGAAACAACACCAGAAGAAGAAGAAAAGTTAGATTTCTTAGTTGCTCAAGGATTAGGGGATATTGTTCTATTAGGAGAGAAAGGAAAATTAAAGAAAGGAAGGTGGTCTGGAATGAGAGTATATGATGCAGAAAAAGAAGGAGGGTTAATTGTCAGAAATTTGTGTGACATGGCTGTTAAAACTAAGATTGAAGGACCTGGATATTTTGTTATTGATTCTGCAGAAAAGAAAGAAGATGGAGTTGTTATCAATGGGTATGTAAGAAGGTCACAATTAAGTCGATTATATAGTGGGTATATTGTCGGTATTGGGGATGTTAGTGTTAAGGCTATAGGAACTGACATTGACCCTTATGGTGTTGGAAATAAAGCTGAGCATTCATTTGAGATAGAACAAGAAGAGGTAGATGATGAAGAGAAAGAAGAAGAGTCTAATGAAATGAGTGAAGAAGAAATTTCAGAACCCCAAAATAACACTACTACTGTAGTTCATATTACTAAAAAAGTACCAGTTGGAGCAGGAAGTTATACAGGAGCTTGGATTGTTGGGGATGAAGGAGAAGAACTTGAAGAACAAGTTGTTGAAGAAATTGAAGAAGATGATATGAATGTTGATGATGTTTTAGATATGGAAGAAGAAGATGAAGAACACCTTAATGAAACTGATGAAGAAAGAACAAATAGATTATTTAATGAATATATAGAATTTCCTGATAGGTATAGAGTTAAACGAGGAGAGTCTGCTAAAGAAACTTTTAAAGGATATAGAGGGCTTAGATCATTGAGACAAAGTGAATGGGATTGTGATGAAGAATTACCAAAAGAATATAATGATCTTGTTCAATTTGATAATTATAAAAGAATGTGTGAATGTTTTAAAGATGTAGAAGATGGAGTTGAAGAAGGGACGTATGTCTCACTTTATATATCAACACCACAATATGCAGGTTCTTTAGTAAACAAAGTTTTTTGTTCATTAAGACAATACGAAAATGAACAATCAATTATACATGTATTATTTACAATCGAACCAGATTCATTACCATTAAAATCAAATACAACATTTACAATTCAAATTGGAGATAGAAGATATCAACGAAATATTGTATTTACTGAAAATGGAATGATGGGAAATAAATATAAAATAATTCGATGGGCTGCTCCTGGTAGTTGTGTCATTGGATCATTTTATGGATATATAACATATCCACCAGCACCTGCAATGTTATTTATGAATGTTGATGGAAATGAAGAACTTGTTGCTACTGGAACAGTAGATAATGTAGATCCATCAAGAATATTGATTGAAAGAGTGTTATTAACAGGAACACCAATTAAAATTGGTAAAAGAAAAGCAACTATTAGAGGATTATTTACTCAACCGTCAGATGCTAAATGGTTTAAACCTATTGAATTATTTACAAAACAAGGGGTATGTGGAAATATTTTATGTTCTTTAGGTGAAAAAGGTTTAGTTAAATGTACATTTGAACAACAATTAAAATCAAATGATGTTGTAACTTTAGCATTGTACAGAAGAGTTTTCCCGCTTCCACCACTTGTTTCTGCTAATTGATTGAGTTTTTAATTTATTTGTTCAAGATAAATTACTATTTAAAAAATCAATCATTTAAAAAGCAGCTTCATAAAGTTCATTTAATTCATCCATTTGTCTAATAAGTTCTTTACATCCTTCTTCCATTACATCAAAAGGAGTTTTATTGCTTGATTTTTGTGTTTGAATTCTGAAAACAACTTTTGTATCACTTGGATGAGGAATACTATATCCACATAAATCTGTATCTGGTAAATTTGCAATGACATGTCTTAATGGGTTAGCGAAAGTATGATCTTCTCCTTCGATAGTATAACTAATACCGTTTGACATCTATCAAATTTTAAATTTAAGTTTTTTTAGGGTTTTTATTTTTTTTCATTTTTATTGATACTTTCATTCACCTTAAATTTTATCTTTTTTTCTACATATCTCGTTTTTCTTTATTCTTTTTTAAAAAAATCTCCTTTCTTAATTCTTGACTCTTGTTTGAATCATTTCTTTATTTAGAATAAATCTTTATTCAATTATCTTTCTCTAAGATACACTACACTTCATTTGGTTCTTTTATATATTATTAAATTGAATGGACTAATCATTGTATTATTTTTTAATCACTTTTATTCTATAATTCAATACACCTTAATTATTTATAAAAGTTGTATAGATTTCATAATAAAGTTCATTTCAAATTATTACTAGAATGTCCTTTTTATTATTGAGAATGATCAAATTATTTTTAAGAGTAATTGATTAGAATAATGTTAATTATCTTATTAATTATAATTGTAACATCTATTCTATTTTTACTAGAACAATAACAGAAAATGTTGTTTTTTATTCCTTTGTTTTCAATTTTAATAAACCAATAAATAAACTCAAAATATCATAAAAAAAGGAAGAAAAGAAAATAAACTGAGAATTTGAATTAGTGGAGATAAGAAAGCATATCAGAAAGATCTCTTTTAATCCAATCTGCACGATTTAACATTTTCTCTAATGATTGTTTAATAGTATTTTCAGAACCTACAGCTGGATGGTCGATAAAGAATTGAGTGTAATATTGATATTTTTCATGAGATGAATAATGTCCTAAGAGTCCTTCTAAAATCCAATTTCTAATAGAAGACATTCCTGTACCAAATTTCTCATTAATATAATCAATATGATTTTCTACCCATTGACAAGGAAGTTCACTTTCACCTAGTAATGAAAGAATCATAACAAAACAGAAGTCTTGTTGTCTCACTTTATTAGTTGCAAAGTCAATAACTTTTTTAATAATCTCTTCATTTTTAACTAATCCTAAGCCTCTTAGTGCGTTTCTTTTTATTTCTGGTGTTTCTCCATTCAAATATAACTGACATAATTTCTCAAAAATTGGTTCTGTAGCATTTCTTCCAGCAATTATACAAATTGGTTGTCTCATTTCTGCATCAACTTTACTTAAATCACCAGCTTCAATAATATTAAAAGCTTCTTTAATACTTTCTTGATTATTGAGAGTAGTCAAACATAAACTTCTTAACTTAGCATCTTCTATAGATTCACCTGGAATAGTTTTTAATCCTAATTGTTGTAATGCCGGTCCAAGCAATCTTTCTCTTTGTTGAATAACAAATTGAACAACTTCAGTTCCTCTAAAAACACTTTTAAGTTCAGTTAAATGCTCACAAACAACTCGTGCAACTTGATAAGTGTCTGATACAAATGGTTTTAAAGTTTTAATAAAGGCAAGATAATTTTTTGATGAAACTTTACCAATTTTACATAGTGAATATAAATCATCAAGAATACTCATTGTTTCAGTTTGACATAGTGTTTGTTGTTTAAGAACATCAAGTAACTGTTCAGAGTATTGAACTCTATAAAATCCAGTACTCATAGTATTTGCAATAACATATGGTTGATTCCATTCAATACATGCACTTTTTTTTGTCAATAAATATGTTTGTTTATATCCTCCACATGAAAGAATCATTGGTATTTTCCATAATTGTTCTGATTTACATCCACATCTTTCTTGTGAAATAAATAATTTATTATTTTCTATTTTAACTGAAACAACTGGAAAACCTGCTTTATATGTCCATTCTTGAACTATATCCTTTAAATCAATACCACAAACTTCTCCAACACATTTCCACATTTCATCACTAACGGCATTACCGTACATATACTTCTTCAAATATAAACTTATTCCTTTCATAAATTTATCAAATCCAACATAATTAATCATCATATCAATCAATGCACTACCTTTATTATATGAAATTAAATCAAATAATTGTTCTATATCACTGGCTTTCTTTACGGGAACACTAACTGGATGAGTTGAACTACATCCATCTGAATCTAAAGCTGGAAGAACTGATTCAAATTCATTAGAAACGTTCATATGCCATTCAGGGAATAAAGTGGCTGTAGCAAACAAATCTCCCATATAACTAGCAAATCCTTCATTAAGCCAAAGGTCATTCCACCATTTCATTGTAACTAAATCACCAAACCACATATGTGCTAGTTCATGGCACACAACACTAGCACAACGTTTTAATGACTGGCTAGAAGCGTTTTCTTGAAGAACAACTTCAGTTTCACGTGAAGTAATACATCCCCAATTTTCCATTGCACCAGCTTCAAAATCTGGTAAAGCTATCCAGTCACATTTTGGTAATGGATATTTAATATCATACGCTTGTTCATATAATGTAAGACATTTGCTCATAGTATCAAGAGCAAATTTTGATACATTTTTATGACTTTTTGGGAAATGAAGTCCTAATTTAATTCCTCTAACAGTTTCTCCATAATAACTAGTAAATTCTCCATTAACAAAAGCAATTAAATAAGTAGACATCTTTAAAGTTCTTTCAAATTCAACAATTTTAAATTCTCCATGTTCTGTAACAGCTTTAATTGGCATATTAGAAAAACAATCATCTTCTTTAGGTACCTCCATTATTATATCAAAAGTAGCTTTATAATTTGGTTCATCAAAACATGGGAATGCTTTACGTGCAGAAGATGGCTCAAATTGAGTACAACAAATGGTTTTTGTTTTACCATCAATTTCATATTTTGATTGATAAAATCCGCATAAATCATCTGCTGGAAGATCTCCATTATATTCAATTTCAATTTCATACTTACCTTGTTCAAAACGCATTCCAGTAAAAATAAGTTGTTCTTTTTCTTTATCTTCTTTGACAGTTAGTTCATGACATTGAGGTTTAATACAACGAGATTTAATATCTTTTATTCCAACACCATTCAAAACAAGTTCATTTGTTGGTTGGATACAATCAATGATAATAGTTATTTTGCCATAATTTAAACTTAATTCAGGATCAGGTTTGACATAAATTTTATAATGTAATGGAATAAAGTTAGTTGGTAAAATTTCGGTCATTAATGAAATAAAAAGTTCTCAAAGGTTTTTAGTTGAAGAAAGTGAAATGACGTTCATGATGATTCATTAATACATCATTGAGGTTTATCAAATAAATCAATTAATGTAATGAAAGAGAAAATTAAATGTATTCTGGTTCATCTTTTATTTCATTTTCTATTTGAATAGTGGTAGTTGGTTGATTTGTTGTATTGTTTTGAGGGTTTTCTTCCTTCTCTTCTTCAATGTTAAATTCCGTCATTAGTTCATTAATGCTCATTCCTTCCCATACAGTAATATTTTTTCCATTCATATTGAAGTTATAATAGAAGTCTTTTGTTTTACATTCATTTAAACACTCTTCAAATAAAGACTCATCTCCTTTATTTTCCTCTTCTTTACTTTCTTCTTCATTTCGTGGAAATTCTCTAACAATTTCTTGCATTGTTCCCATAGCACTCATCATCGGTTGCATAGATACTAATAAATCATCAAAATTACCGTCATCAGGAATATATGTAAGATTACGTGCTTTACAATACTTTTCAAGTATTAATTGAGCACCAAATACTCCCATCATATCATTAAATTGTGCATTTTTACCAGACATTTTTTGATGACCTTTCATGAAAGTTTTAATAAATTGTTCAACACCTTTTAAATCATTTTTGAATAAGAGCCTAGCAGAATCAACAGTTTTTACAACAGTATCTTCAAAAAGATTCATCATAGCTTCTGGATATTTTTTACCATATTTTGTCTCAATTCCTTTAGCAGCATCAAGAAATGGAACAAGGGCAAATCGAAGGGCATCAGAAATAAAATAAAATGGATCACCTAATTCATTTTTTAATGACTTCATAATACTTTTATCAATTGGACGTACTCTATGTTCTATAAGATCTGTGATAATCATATTAGTTAATTCAACACTAGAAATATTTGGATATCTTTCTAAAAATTTATTTACTCCAACTTTCATTTTCTCCATAGCTTCATATCTACTTCCCATAAACTCAAGAATATCATCTGTATTAAATGAATTTAAACAAGCGTCATATAACTTACCAAATATAGTAACACTATCATTCTTTCTTTTATAAAATGATTCATTATTTATTTTCCCTTGATATCGTTGACGTGCTGCACCATAAAGTTCTTCAAATGATTGTACAAATTCATCATATCCATCATTTTCATCTTCAATTGATTCAAGGTTATACTGATAATATGCTAAATCTAAACAATTTGAAAAAAGGTCTTCATCGCTCAAAGGTTTTGGTTTAGGTGGTGTTTGCATTTTTACTTTTTCTTATCACAAATTTTTAGTTTTAAAAAATTTTTTTTATTTTTTTTTGATTAAAGAAAAGAAGAAAAAAAAATAATTAATAATAGTATAATTTATAAAAACAAATTTAAAAAAAAAAAAATATTTTTTTGTTTTAAAATTATAATTTGTAGATGATGAAAAGAGAAAAAACCAATTCATGAAATCAATACTTGAGATATGTCAAAATGGAGGGGCTAACGATTTACTTAAAATGATTGATGATGGAATACCTTTTAATTCACCTGATGAAAACGGAATGTATCCTATTCATTATGCAGCATTATTTGGAAATGAAGCAGTTATTAGAATACTAATAAGGCATGGTGCAGATGTTAATGCACAAACAATCAATGGAAAAACTGCATTACATTTTGCTGTACAAGAAGGTAGATTGACATTAACTAGAATACTTCTTCACGATAATGCAAATCCAGCAATTCTTGATTCACAAAAGAATAACGCATTAACACTAGCATGTAAACGAGGATTTTTACCAATCGCTGAATATCTATTATTTCATTCAAATGGATTAGCACCAACAGCTATTGATTATTGTTGTAAAGAGAATTATATAAATTTAATTAGAATGTTTATTGATTACGTTACACCACAAGAATTAATAGAAGGACTATCTAAAATGAACTTGTCAAAATGGGGTGATTTATCATCTAAATTAATGATTCCATCTGGAGATTTTACCTATGAAATTGATTATCAACCATTTGATAAACAACTTTGTGATTATTCCATTAATTCTACTCCTCCTTTAGACGCACCTCTAAACGTTCATTCTTCTATTGTATTTAATGAAATCCCTTATTTTGCTTTGATCCCTTCGAGTTCACAACTTTCTTTATCACCAGAATCTCTTATTGTAATGTTAAATTATTGTTATACACATACAACAGACTCTTTATTATTAACTTCCAAACCTATTACTCATGCAATTGAAATTCTTCGTCTTTCTCATCCACAACGCTTAGGTTCAATAGTTCCATTAATAATAAAAGTAATCGAACAAATTATTCAAAGTGATTTATCTGAAATTGGTGTATTAGTTGAATTCTTTAAAACACAAGACCATCGTTATTTCTATGAGTCATTGTTTCAAGGTTTAATATATACTTTATTAAAACATATTTCAGTACCATCTGTTTTAGAGTCAATCCAATCTCTTCCACGTGGATTTATAGATGATATGATTAACCTTTTACCAACACAATACCCAGATATTCAATTACCAAATTATCGTGCATTAAAGGGTTTTCAATGGTGATTGATTGATTGAATTATTCTTCGTTAATTCTAATTCTATTATTATTTTTAATTAAAACTTTAAAAAGTAACAAAATAAAAAATTAATTTTTAGAGTAAAACACACCCTCCTTTCTTTTTCTCTCCATTTTTTTCTGATTGTTTCTTTCCACTTTTTTTATTTGATGACTTTTTACTATCTTCTTTTGGATTTAATGGTTCAAACAACATTTTCATTATATGTTCATATAACTCTTTAATACCTTCTCCTGTTTTAGCTGACACTTCAAAATATTCACAATTTAAACTTTTAGCTACTTCTTCACATTCTTCTTCTGTTACTTTTTTATCATTACTATCAAGTTTATTTCCTACAATCAACTTAAGGTATTGAGATCCAATATATCTATCTCCATACGATAACCAATTTTTACAATTTTGTATAGAATCTTTTTCTGTTTCATCAAATAATGCAATTAATAAATTCGCATCATTATAAAATGTAGCGGTTGTACTAACATCTGTTCCTAATGGATCCATAAAATTTAAAATAACTTCTTTGTTATTATAAATAACTTTTTTACTTACCTATAAATCAATACTATTCTGTTACAAATATTATTTCTTTTCTTTTTTCTTTGATAAAACAAACAGAAACATCTTCGAATGGTGTTGATTCTTCAATAAATTTATCTTCAAGAAATCTACGTACAAGAGATGTTTTACCTATTTTTTCATTTCCAATAACACAAATTTTAAAGCTGTATTTCTGGGTCATTCAAAACCTTTAGTTTTTTTAAGTTCTTTTCAATTTTTGTATTTCGCTTTTCATCTTTTTTTTCTTTAATCCCGAAAAATAGAACGATGTTTTATTTCTGTACAATTAATAATATTGTTCTAACATTTATTTCTTTCTTGGTTAAGTTTAATAACTTTTCCTTGTCAATTATTCAGAGGAAAGTAATTAAAAAAAACAAAAAATTAGCATTTTTTAATTTAAAAAGAATTATTTGTAATATGCTAATATTTTAAATGAAATTGTTACAAAAAATCTTATTTTAATAATTTATTTAAAAGTTGTTTATAAATAGATAGTGATATAAATTTCGTGTTATTTTAAATAATTCAACTTATTTTTAGGTTCATTATTTTTAAACTTCTACTCATTTATATTTATTTATCCACCATCAAAATATGAAGTGTCTATGAATAGAATAAATTATTATTATTAATTAATAAATTATTATTATTATTATTATTATTATTTTATTTTTATATTAATTTTATATTTAAAAAGGACACTTTTATGGTTCCAAAAAAAGGATAATACCTTCAAAAATTTGATTGTTTTTAATTTCATTTTATGTAGTTTTGTTTCATCAAATTTCTGATATTTTAGGAACATTCTTTATTTAGTTTTTTTATTTATTGTACCCAACTTTAAGAATTCCGATAATACGAAATAATGTTATAATTTTATTATCTAGATGAAGTTATTTTCATTATACTAACATAATTCATTTTATTTTAATCTCACTATTGGATATCTTTTTCTTTTATAAAAATTTAAATTATATTACAGGCTGTTTTTGTTGTTTGATACTTAATATCAATA